CCAGAGGCATCTATCCTATACCCCAGAAAGTCCACTTGCCTAGTGGCGATGGCGTACTTCTCCCTTTTAAGTTTGAGGCCATGCTGCCTAAACTTCTCTAGGACTGCTCTGACCCTCTGTATGAGCTGAGGTCTGTCAACTGCTGAGACTAAAATGTCATCGAAATAAGGGACAACCCCCGGGAGACCTTGGAGAATCCTTTCCATGAGGGATTGGAATATACCCGGGGCCACACTTACACCGAATTGGAGGCGTTTACACTTGAACGCCCCTCTATGTGTGACTATGGTTTGTAATTCAGCTGTCTGATCATCAACAGGGAACTGTTGGTATGCCTGGGACATATCTAATTTGGCAAAGATGGTGCCGGGCTCGAAGGTGTGTAACAGGTGTTGAATAACAGGGACGGGGTAGGCGCTGACCTGCAGATAACGGTTGAGGGTGGTTTTATAGTCTGCGCAGATTCTTATGCTGCCATCTTTCTTGAGTGGGGTGACTATGGGGGTCTCCCATTTGGCAAAGTCGGTTGGCTCTAACACCCCTTGCTTCAGTAACTTATCTAATTCTAAATCTAACTTAGGACGGATGGCAAAGGGCACTCTGCGTGGCTTAAGGCGAAGGGGAATTGCCTGGGGGTCCACAGTGAAGGAGATGGGGGTGCCAGAATAGCAGCCCAGCTCGCTGCTAAAAACATCAGAGTAGTCTGAGAATAGGGCGTCTACATCAGAGGTTGAGACAGCATGAATCCCCGTTACACTAAGGCCGAGAGAAGGGAACCAATCTAGTCCCAACAGACTGGGGAGGGCACCATTAACAACCACCAAAGGCAAATGGCCTTTAAAACCTTAGAACTGAACTAAAAACTTGCCTTTCCCGAGGACAGGGATGTTCTTGCCTTGGTAGTCCCGAGGTGTCAGGTGGCAATTCTGCAGCTTCCTCTTAGAGAATCTGGGATGAATCTTCTTTAGGGTTTCCCAGGAGATGATCGAAAGTGCAGATCCCGTGTCTACCTCCATTCTGCAAGGCTTACCTTCTAAAGAAACAAAAATACTGATTTTATTAGGAGTCTTGGAAGTATGGTTCGCGTGGTAGCAAGTATAGCAGTCCTCCACTTGCCTTTGGAAATTAGCAGGTGGTGGAGGTCTCTGAGGAAGGTTCCGCCGTGCTTGGCAGACTCTGGCTAGGTGGCCTTTCTTCTGACAATTTAGACAGATGGCATTCCTAAACCTGCAGGATGCCCTAGAGTGGGAACCCCCGCAAGCTAGGCAAATGGGAGGTTGCTTGGGGGTGAAGCTGTTTCTCTGCCCCGCTCCTTCCTGTGAGGGCTTTTGTTGCCTAAGGCGGTTAATGTCTGTTGAGTCTGTGGGGTCTTCTTCGAGGGAAACTTCCTCTGAATGAATAGTGGAGCTGCTGGGTTTTAAAGGAGTTCCTTGAATCTCAGCTGCTGATTGGGCAGAGAGTTCAGCAGCTTGGCCTTCTTCTACGGCTAAGGCTAGGGTTAAATCCTTTTTGGCTAGCAAGCGCCTTTGAAGCCTAAGGTCTCTAACCCCACAGACGATCTGGTCTAATAACATGTCCTCTAGGTAGTCTCTAAAACCACACTGTAAGGCAGCTGTTCTCAGAGCTGCCATATACTCATTAATTGACTCCCCCTCAGCCTGCCTTCTAGTTCTGAAGGCGTATCTCTTGGCTATCTGGGATGGTTTAGGTGAGTAGTGGTTGGAGAGGATCTCTTGGAGTTCATCCCAAGGTACGCTCCTGATAGCGCGAGGGGCAACTAGTGCTGTAGCGGTGTCAAAAACCGCAGCCCCACAGTAGCTGAGGAAGAAGGATTTTTTCTTGTGTTCTGCAGCATCAGTTAGACCAATAGCGTTGAGGAAGTAGCTGAAACGGTTTTTATATGAATCCCACGTTTCCTCGGTAGGCTTGAAGGGTGGAAATGTCGGATTGGCGTTCATTTTTTCGAGGCAGCAGTGCCTGTCACCTTAGTCGTTGTGATTCCAAAATTCGCGCTCTTAGAAGAGCGTTTGCGGCTGCGCCTATCAGGCGGTGTCTGTCTCCCCGTCTGAGGGGCTTTTTTGAGTTTCGCGCTCTTTGTGAGCGCCGGCGGCTGCGGCTTCAG